CGGGGCTGGGCATGCCGCCCGCCAGCTACCCGCCGCCCACGGTGCCGCCGGGCGGGCAGCCGCCCGTGCCGCCCCCCATCCCGCCGCCGGGCATGCCGCCCGTGGCCGGGCTCGCCCGCGCCACCTGGATGAGATAGCGGCGCCCGGCGGAGCGCCCCGACCGCACGGGGGAGCGCCCCGATGACACGGCCGGAGGCCACCGCCGCCGCGCGGCCTCCTTGGTGTTCGTTAGGAGTAGCCAGCCCAAACCGTATTGTCCTGATGAAGAGGAGCGTAATTGGTATGATTTAGATGAAGAACGGAGACCATGAAATGGAGACTTAGCTGATCTGTTTGCATTGTTTATGGTGAGTTATATAGGCTTCTAGATTTTAATTAGCTTTGCAGTATCCTGACTTTATACGTTTGACCGAAGTCTAAGTTGTCTCGAGTTATTCCAGCACTGGATTACTTTGTACTAGCAAAAAAAAAGTTAACCAGCCATATTGGCTCAATTATATCAGTAAGAAGTAAATTTCCTTCTAGAAATCAGTGCCTATTTTTGAGTATCAAAGTAGCCAGATACCATGAAATCTCATCTGCAGTAAGAAGCTTCATTTTTATTAACAATTAAAACAAGGCTTGATGTCAAGCATCAAAGCTACTTTATTTAAAAGAGAGTCTGAATGCTAGATGACTGAAATCATTTTGAGGTGTTTGCCTTGCTGATATTTTTGTTTTGGAATGTACCGGTATCTTAAAAGTATTGTATGTTTACACCTATTTGCAGATTCCTGTACATAATATATATATTTTCTAAGTGTGAAAGTCTGAATGTAACAACCTACTGTGATTTACATCCTGGTTATAAATGGGACTACTTCATTCACACCTACCCAAATAAAATTGGTTCTGAGTTTAGCGGATTTCCAAGTTTCTCACATCAGTTCAGAATTTGTAGCTGTGGCACATTGCAACGTACTTGAGCAGGGGTCTTCCAAACCTTATTCATCAGTTTATTTAGAAAGAATGTAATTTTATTCAACTAAAAGTATACACTGTCACAATCAATCTCTTACTTCATTTTTACTAAAATATTTCAAATGAATGTCTTACACACATTATCAAAAAAATCTGTACTATTATTTTTCCCTCCCCCCAAAAAACAGAGTGGTTCAATAATAGGTAAAAACGTGTGCTAAAGTCTAAAGAATTTTGCTATATACACAACAGCAGGTGCTAACGTTTCCAGTTCTTTGTAAATCATATACAGAAAATATAGCAGGGCTGTAATATCACAGGTTTAACAGAAATCAAACTTCCGACTGATTTCCAAAGCAGCACAGATAGACTTTCCCCACATTATGAAAAATATACAATTTTATCACTTTACAGTCATGCACTTTGAAAAAGATCAGTAGTATTCTTCCCCCACAGTTTCTAGAAAGATAAAAGGTCACTTTAACACTGATTTTTTTTTCTTTCTTTTTTTTTTTAAATATTTTATATTTGGATAAAAATGTGCCATTCTCAAACAAGGTTGTGCTCAGCAGTCTTATCAAGGTGCAAAGAGCCAACTGAAGCTGATGGTACCACAGTGTTTGAAAAGCTCTTACAGGGAGGCTATTGAGTCACTCCGACAAGTGTTGAGGATGGGATTCTGCCTTCCCAAGCCCTGGGGTCCGTCAGGAAGGAGGGGTTGCTTCCATTGCTGGGGGATGGCAGAACCCAGCGCTTCAGTGTTGGGGAGATGAACCTGAGGCTGTTGCCCCCAGATCTGTCCACGTTATGGCTGCTCTTTCAAGGGATGCTCCCCTCCAACTTAATGTACAAACCTCCTCAGGTAGTTTTCACCGAAGACTTAGCGCATAGTTAAATGGATTTCAAAATTCATAGAAAGCTGCCTTTTTAGGCAGCTCAAAGTCTAGCACCCAAGTCATCCTTTAAAGTCATTGAGTGTCATTTTTCCTCAGGAAGACACTATTTAGCTCAAGTGGAGCTACGTATGAAGAGTAGCAAGCCCCAAACAAAAAACTCCACGTATAACACTGTTATGTTGTTCTGGAAATGAAAAATGCACATCTTGCATTGAAGACGTATGCTGCCAAGTTAAATCACCAAAAATACAAATTATACCCTACAAGTACGAAGGTTATTCAACTGAACTAATTTGCTACCCTGTAAATTGGCTTTTTTAGGATTTGTAATGCTACTGGACCTCGATTACAGCACTGCATCCCTTGTAGGTGAGATCTGCAGGTGGAATGAAACAGACCTGGCCTAACGTCGCCAAATAGATATTGAGAAGTTTGGTAAGGGGAATATTTGTTTGAGAGCTTCACGGTTGTTTAGAATAGTAGTCTGATTAGCATCACTCACCCTGTTGAGAGGACCTGCTAGTCTAATAAACTCCTAAAATAGTAAGCACGTCATCAGCACACTTTCTCAAAGTGTTGGCAGCATTTACATTGCTTTACTTAAAACTCACTGGCATCAATTAACCCTGCTCCCAGTGGGTCTAAATTCTCCTCCTTAATCCAGAGATTAGATTCCACCAAAATTAAAATGGGTTTGTGGGCAGATGGATTAAAGTAACCCTCTGTTAAACATTAGATGTTAAAGAATGATGTGTCTGATTTTCCCTTCTCTGGAAGGGGCAGAAACACAACACCTTTTGTGGTAGGAACATCTCAGCATATAAATGTATACAGGAGGAAGAAAAGTAATCATAGGCTAATGGAAACTGGATGAACGATGACAGGCAAAACAAAAAAAGGGTAGGAAATCAGGAATGCTCTAAAGATGTCGTATTTTGAAGGACACCATATGCTAGAATGGATTTTTCTGGACTCATCCTGGAAGCAGGTACTGACTGGAGTTACAGTCAGCCGGCTCTGTCTCTGCTCACTGCAGGAAATGAGCTGCTGGCCAGTGGCTAGGTTAGGGTGGGGAGGGCATCTTGTTCTTGAGCTCTTCTTTTTAAAACAAATTGCTTATCTTGACTGTTAGGTTTTTATTTCTACACCCTACACTGTAAGTTCTTATTTTTACTGGTTAGTACTTGTTCGGTTGGATTCTCTAGCTTCTTATGGGTTACAGACCTAGGCTTTGACCCTGCAAATTAAGAGTTTCCAGGCAGCTAGTTACACTATATACAATGAGACCAATCGCCTGTTTAATAACTTGCAGGCACTAGCTCCTTGATTTTTATTGGTGCTCCACATCAGTATAATAACAGGAGTCGAGAATTCAACTAGTAGAGCACGTTCCCTTAGCAGCAAGAGCCTGTCGAGCCATTTCAACTCTCAGCTGACTGATCCTTACAGAGAATAAAAAGAAAGTGATGAGGTTTGAAGTCACTAAATCTTCAAGCTAATCACCAAAACAACGCAACTTTTGCAGAGGAGGTGTTGATCTTTACACACGCCAGTCTTTAACATTATTTTACACCAGTGGGTTTAATAACAATCTCCAGCTTGCTTAGACTATCAGGAAAAGATGGGGAGAAACATCTACTGAAATACAGGGCCAGTGGCTGTGACAGGTTGGAAAAGAAAGGGGGTCAAATTCTTACTACACCTATACAAGCAGCTACTCCACACTAACAAAATAAAAGTCCCATTGTTTTTATGTACAGCCATTTGAAGGAGGAAAAACCCACTTGTTTTGGTTCATTAACAAAAATAAAGCTTCAGTGGCAGGAAGTTGTTGGTTGGTCACCATATGTGACAGCCAATACAGGTGAGGGTTCCAGCAAGACCGTTCAAAAAAATACCCAAATATTCCATATGTGAAAGATGAGCTGCTCTTGAAGATACTGTGAAAGCCGTAAGTGCTGCTAGGACGGCTGTTTCTGCTGAGTTGTGTAATAAGAAAAACTTTATGGGAATTGTGTGGCCAGATCTGTAGGGAATACTGGTGCCTGGCCAAGCGACTTCAGTTCATTCACATTATGACTGCAGAAGTCACGAGTATCATTTGTTGGTGAGAAATCCGTCATCACCAGCTCACACGGAGCCTCAGGCTCTTCCGGATGCTTGTGAGACGGACACCACAGTACAGCGCACGAAGCAGTATGAGGGTTTAATCCCTCCTCACAGCGCCTTGAGAAAACAGCAACATGTCCTTCCCCTAAATCAGGACCTCCCAAACAAACAGGAGCAGCTTAGGAAATGGGCAGCCTGTAAACCAGGGAATTCAAATCGCTGTTTCCTTGGAAGGGTCCAAAAATGTGCTGCCTGGAGCCATTCACCAAGCAGTCACCAAGCAGGTGGACAGAAGCAGGACACACTGTGACATCTCCGTGGGTTAAAGTTTCTTCTTGTTCTTCTTAGAAATTCTCTCAAGTTAATTCTACAAACAGACCATACAACAAAGCGGGTTTGGACTACGATACAAATGATGCAAGTCTGGCATTACTGAATGGTTACCCATCGAACATCCGTTCCAGAGCACCACAGCCTGAAATCAGGCTTTTAGCTGCCATATTTACACTATTGACAGTTACAAAAAAAAGCAAAAATAGGAAAAAAAGCTTGAAAATATCAACCCCCGAGTCCCAGAGAGCAAGCAGCCAGAAAGAGCAACTCTCTCTCTTTTAGTCCTCATGGAGTCACTGCCAGTCTGCAGGACGACGCTCCTACAACGGACCCTTGAACTGGTTTCCTGAAAGGTGTTGCCTGATGGAGGGTTTGGAGCTCGCAGCATCACCCAGCTTTCGCCAGACAACCTGCAAGACAAAAAGACAATGGGATGGGGAAGTAAAAGGCAGGAATTAAAAATTAAAGACTGCTGATTTCTACTCTAACAGTCAAAACAAGCCATTTCCCAGAGCAGCGCTGTAATTCTCAGAAGGGCCACTGGATGGCATTTATGCACCAGTTTCCAAGGGGAAAAAACCATTGAAGTGTTTCCCTAATTAGTCTCTCTTGAAATGAGAACCGTTTTTGCCTGGGGTAATAATATAAACGAAATACACGAGGTTTGGAAGCTAAGTTCAATGGTAGGTCAGCCCTGTCATCCTTACTGAAGTGATGTTACCATGAACGGAAAAGCTAATGAAAAAAAGATCGTGGTTAAAATTGTATCTACAACTTTCTAGAAACATAATGGCCCTCTCTAGGGCCATAGGGGAAAGTCAGGCTCTTTTAAGATTAGAAGAAACTGCAAAGCACTGTGTAGCCACCTACATAAAATGAATATTTAAAAAAAAAAAAACCCACATCTGATGTTAGACAAACATAAAGCGAAGATACAGTGTTTTCCCTTTCCCCCCGCAAGGCTACAAGAGAAGGGGGGCGTTAAGCAGACCTAGTCACTTAAAAGCAGGCCCTCATTTATTTTGGTCTTGGTGTTGCTTACAGAGGTTAGAGGAACCGAGCGCCACTGCCTTAGCCCTTGCCAAAGGTTGCTTTGGTGACTTAGCTGTGTAAGACACTCTTGCACCTTTTGCACCCTCTTTATAGAGCTGAGGTGATTTCTTTCTTTTGCCTTTTAAGATTTTTTTCCTGCTGTTTGCATGAAGGAGAGCACTGTCTTGTTCTTTCTGCCATTGTATCTGTAAAGGTGCAGTCACAATACACTAAGATGCCCTCCATAGTGTGGCTTAATGCTACAGCACTCTTGCAAGACCTCACTGCAAGCAATTTCAGAATTTAAAAGGAGGATTAGGCTTCGCTCTGCTGCTGTGATGCACAAAAAGGTCCACTTGTGCTCACCCCCAATCTGGACTTCTAAGAACGAGCGCTCCATAAGGATCCTCCTCCCTGCTGCGGGAACTGCTGTTACTGTCAAATAACAGATCCCCGGCGGCACGGCTCGCTCTGAGCTCTTGCAGAAGCCCAAATTTCTTTGCTCAGAGCCAAGGCACAGCCATGGTATTTCTCTCACTAGCAGGCTGAGCTGGAAACGGGAGGCAGTGGCAGGGCAAGGGCACAGTGCGGAGCCGGGTGTTGGTCCAGGCGCCGGGCGCGCAGCACGGGCCAAGCTCAGCCCCGTGCCCGACACCTCGGCGGTACTGGGAGCAGTCCCAGCCCAAGCTGCCCCCCTCGAGCGCCGCCGGATTCTGCGGCCAACAGGAGCCGGCTGAGCCGCCCGCGGAGCTGCCGGGCCCAGGGCCGGCTGTTCCCCCTGCTCCTGCCAAAGCTGCTCCCTGGGCAGCAGCTGCAGCCCAAGGGCTGCCCAGTGTGCTGAGCAAGGCGGTCAGGTCGCTGATTCCCAAAGCAGCAGCCAGCAGAGCCCTGGCTCTTCCCTCCCGTCTGGATTTCCCCGTGGATTTCACGGCAGACATTCATATGAAGAACTGGGCTCGGTGCTTAGAGCGAGAGAACACAACAATGACTGGAATTATTGAAAGAAGTGATTACATTGCACATCTCACGAACAATCGCTTTCTCCTTCTCGCTCAGATCTTCTTCATAGTTATCTTGCATTTGCCTGTCCAAATTTTCATGGACCTCAAGGACCTACAGAGAAACAACATCACAAAAGCGTTATGCTCCTCAGTTAATGTCATTAACTAGTATTTCAATTGGCAGGATTCTTAAAGCCTGCAGATTCAGAGCATCACAAGGACGAGCACGAAACCAAGACCCCGTTACCCTCCCACCTTCCCCTGCGAGGACAAGTCTATCTCCCCACCTGCATGGTAGGAACAGAGCCAGAAGAGCGGGACACCATGGCAACATCTGCATGGCCCCGATGAGCCATGAATCCTGACATCTTAAAGAGAGAATTTCACTCACCTTTGCCCCGAAACTGCTTTCAGCTCCTTTACTTTCTCAGAAGGACCCTTCCAAGACCCCTCAAGACAGTGACCAAGCGAGAGGGACTCTCACCACGTTGGTGACCACATAGTGCCCGGCTAGGCAGGGCACTGAACACCATTTTCTGCGCCCCAGAGCCCCAGCATTGCCTATAGCCCCCTGAAGGCCCTTTCTGAAGACCTTCAAAGACCCTCTCCTGTAAATATAAGGGAACATGTGATCCTTGGCCAGGGAGCAATACGCCAGTGTGGCCACACAGACCCCTCAAGTTTTACCATCTGTTTAATGAGATCACCTGGTACAAATGTGGCCGAATGCCACAAATCCCCACGGGCTGTCTTGGGCTGGCCTGTCTTCTCCTGCACAAGCAACCTGGCTGTGTTCTCTTTCCTCTCAGGACTGGCCATGCTGTGACACACAAGGAGACCACACAGGTGCCTGCAGCAGCTCCCCACATCACGACTGGGGTGAGTTAGGTCTTAGCTTTCCTCTATCTCCTGTTTGGGACTATGCAGCTTTTCCGCAACAATAATGGGAGGAAAGCACTGCAAAAACAGGAAATGTGGCTGGAAAAGCATAGGAAGGGGACTGCAAGAGCTGGACAAGGGGGAAGGGCAGGATTTGAGATGCTCCACAGGGTTTTGGATAGGCAGCTACCACGTAGGTCATCTCCCTCGGCTGCTTCACCAGGAGCCCACAAGACCCAGCTCCGTTGGCTTTATGGACGATACCAAATGGGTGGAGTGGCCAACAATCCAGAGGGCTGTGCTGCCATTCAGAGGGACCTGGACAGGCTGGAGAGTTGGGCAGAGAGGAACCTCATGAGGTTCAACAAGGACAAGTGCAGGGTCCTGCACCTGGGCAGGAATAACCCCAGGCACCAGTACTGATTAGGGGTTGACCTGCTAGAAAGCACCTCCACAGAGAGGGACCTGGGAGTCCTGGTTGACTCCAAGTTAATCATGAGCAGTGCCCTCGTGGCCAAGGCCAATGGGATCCTTGTGGCCAAGAAGGCCAATGGGATCCTGGCTGCATCAGGAGGATGTTGCCAGCAGGTGGAGGGAGGTGATGCTGCCCCTCTGCTCAGCTCTGGTGAGGCCACACCTGGAGTATTGGGTGCAGTTCTGGGCTGCCAGGAGAAAAGGGACGTGGAGCTTCTAGAGAGGGTCCAGCGGAGAGCGACAAAGATGATTAAGGGACTGGAACATCTCTCGTGTGAGGAGAGACTGAGTGAGCTGGGCCTGTTTAGCTTGGAGAAGAAAAGGCCGAGAGGGGATCTGATCAATAAGTACCTGAAGGATGAATGTAGGGAGGAGGGGGCCAAGCTCTTCTCAGTGGTGGCCAGTGATAGGTCAAGAGGCAATGGGTATAAGCTGAAACACAGGAAGTTCCATCTCCAGCTGAGGAAGAACTTCTTTCCTGTGAGGGTGACAGAGCCCTGGAACAGGCTGCCCAGGGAGGTTTTGGAATCTCCTTCTCTGGAGATCTTCACAACCCGCCTGGATGCCACCCTGTGCCACATGCTCTAGGTGTGCCTGCTTGAGCGGGAAGGTTGGACTAGATGATCTCTAGTGGTCCCTTCCAACCTTGAATATTCTGTGATTCTGTGATTCTGTGAAGTCTTCCCGTGCACTCCCAAGCAGCAACTCCAGACGGGCGTGTTGTGCGAGGCAGGTGCCTCGCGGGGCAGGCGACGCTGCACGGGTGCTGACCTGCACAACCCCCCAGGGCTTTGGCTCTCGGGAAGAACGTGGCCATCTCGGCAGGCAGGGTGAAAGATCCTGAAATCCCCCAGTGCGTGGGCTCTTATTCAGCACGTGTCAGATATCTGCACACACACACACACACACACACAGCTCTACAGCAGGTGTATTTGCGTGCATAAATATTTGTCTACTGAGGAACTACAGAGCTGGAAGCAGGGAAGGGCTTCCCCCTCTGCTGCGACATACAGCACCGACTGCTCCAAGAAACGGGACACCAGAGCAGATTATGTGCTGGGCAGCTGCAGCACAGCAGCCTTGCTGTGTTCTGGCTGCCTAACTTACAAAAATAGGTCATTCTCCGAGGGCTCTTAACCTACTTCTAAAATGCCCTGGCTAGTTTAACCAACTATCTGCGCTCAATCTCTATACAAATAAAGACATCCACATCCAGGAAGGGCAAGAGAGATGCAAAAAGCCATGCAGGAGCTGACAGAGAGAACGTCTATTTTTTTGCTGAAGAGGAGGGAATTAATTATTGATCCAGCTGGACTCGCATGCCGTATTTGCCTGTGTGGAGCTGGGACGTGTGTGAGGAGCAGCCGCCTGCACAATCCGACCGTGGCACCAGGAACGGCTGTGGAGCAGCTAAGAGCTGTTGCTGTCTGCAGGGCCCATGTCAAGGACAACTGTGGTTTGGGTTAGTTAAAGATCACATCAACTCCAGTGTCTGCTTCCCCCAGCCATCAATCTTGCTGGCACAGGAGTCTCAGAGGAGAAAAATAAACTGTTTTTCTATGGCTTCCACTTAAAATAAACTGCGTTCTCATTCCAGGAGGTGTGAAAGGGTGGTGCAGCTCATTTCTTTCAGTGGAAATGTATTTTAATAGTGTAAAGAGAGCACAGGCAGAGCTGAAGGCTGCTAAGTCAGAAGTTAGGGCTGTATATCACTTCTGAAGGATGAGGGCCTTGCTAACCCTCAAGCCTTCCCTCTCCACAGGGCAAAGCCCATTTCTGAGGAGACACTTTGTGAAGATGTATTGGCACCTTGGGCACAGAAAAAAAGGGGATTGGGAGGGTAAAACTTGAGAGCTGATGCCAGCAAGGTGCAATCACAGAAACACACCCTGAAGAGCAAAATCACCTCCTGAAGGGGAGGTCCTGTCACTGCTGTGACTGTCTTTTTCGAGACAGCTACTACATTAAACAGGTTGCAGAAAGAGAACCAGTTGCAGAAGCTGTGCTGGTCACCTCGCTCTCACTCTGTGTGCTGGGGTGTAAGCTGTGGAAACACTGCAGGTGACTTTAGCTGCCTGTCGTCACTGAACACAGCCTGGGCCTGAGGCAGCTTCACCTCCGTCGCCTCCAGCCTTTGTGACTTGCAGCACCGGCCCTCACACACCGTGAGAAAAACAACAAATCCCAACAGCCTGGATCACTGCAATAAAAGGGGAGTACCAGGCTAAATATGGGGCAAGCCCCTCTGTAACAGGAAGCACTGAGGTTAAGGGGTTAATCTCTCCTAAGGGTGCAAGTTCCAAGGGTGAAAAATACAGTTTTCTAAAACACCAGGCAAAACCCTGGGGAACGCAGCACAGTGACAGTCCTGCTCTGCCAGGGGACAGACTGGATGCCCCACTTGGCCTTTACCTTATGGACCAAATCCTGCCTTGGATACCTATGGGAGCAACTGAATTCCTGCTTGATGGTCCCAAGCAAATCAGAGAGATGTCACTGTGGGGCAATCGGATTATGGTCTAGAAGTTGTCTTCTTACATTTCCCTCCTCCTCATCTCCCCCTATCTTTAGCAGGTTTGTTGAGCTCCTAAGAAAAGTGCTTTGATGTTCAGTGAGATCCTGAGATGTAGCATATGTACCTTTTATTCTCGTTAGCAGGAACAGTTGTTAGGTGCACCAACCTGTCATCTTGCTCCTTATTTATTAGGTGCAAACAAACAAAAACGATTTGGGAAGAAAAAGAAATAAAGAAAATCCTTTAAACATTGTCAAGAAAGAACTTGGGCTAAATGAAAAGCAGTCTTTCAGCCACGAGGCATTCAGCTGCAGGCAGAAAAAGTCAAGCAAAAAGCCTGGGGGACATCTACACAGATGGCCACAGACAGAGGTCAGTGATGCAGCCCTGTTGCTGCTCCTAGCTGGGCAGACAAGTGCCAAAGCTCTCCTGAAAACCCTCCAGACCCTGACTGTAAGCCCAGCTAAGCAGAGTGCCCCGTGGCCTGTGCTTGGGCACCGAGCTGAGATGCCCACGCACCTTCTGGACTTGCATCTGAGCAGCACAAGCTGCTCACACGCTTGCAGACCTGCATCTGCCCCTGCTTCTCCTCTCAGCAAGGGATGAGCCTACCACGGTCACGAGAACATCTTTACGTGACCGAGATAAGGATTTTTTCTAATGTTACATGTCACATATCCAAAGCAGAGTCTCATGTGCAGGCCACTCTCTTCCCTTCCCCAAGGGAAGGCCAGGTGCTGCTTCACAGGCTGTGAGTGGTCTAACCTGGTAGCAGCTTCCAGTTCCCGCATGAGGCTGGCACTGAAAACAATGCCCAGATCCTCCAAGTGCAGATAAGGGCTATTCCATAAGCTACAGCATGCCAAGGGCCAAAAAAGCAAAAAAACAAAGCCAAAAATTACCTAAATGATCTTCTATCCAGTTTAAGATTTGTTACTGGAGACCAAAAACTACAAGTTTGATGTGCCACAAGAAGGGCGAAGCAGAAAGAACTGAAAGCCACAGTTATGGAAGAAAAAGCCACATGCATTTCAAAATAACAGTAGTTACTGAGAAGAAAGGTGGTATAAAGTGCAGGAAAACAAAAGAATCACACAGTTCTGCTACATTCTGGAGGGCATCACAGCTTAAAGATACGTACATGTACAGGAATAACTTCACCCACAGTTGAAATGCAGCACAGTGCAGGATGGGGAGCAACACCGTTCTGATTACACAGAACCATTCAGGGCAAGCAGAGAAGAAACTTATCCAGAAAATACTGGAAAAAGATACGTAGGCAACTGAACTGCTGCCTGTTTGGGTAAGGTTCCTTAGGGATGTAGTAAAAATTCTATTAAAGATAGATGTGGACGGTGGAAATGCATCTCCTAAGATGCACAGATTGATATGATCTGGGTATATAAAGTCTCAAACAATCTGAAAAATATCAAAATTTCTGGTTTGAGGGAACTTCTTTAATTTGAATTCAGGTTTGATCCAGATCAAATTAACCTTCTTTCCTTTCATAATTCCTCACACACCATAAATACATGGAAGATGAACTGTTTTAGAAATATCAACACATGGTGTTTCTGAAACTTAATATCCTCCAAGGATCTTCCGCAGCTCAGTGGAACTGCTCTTCCTGCCAGCTGTGCTCCTGCTTCCCCTGACTTCTCCCAAAGTGCTGACTTTACCACTGCCACCTCACAGGTCTGTCCTAGAGCCCAACTTTGTGCCTTTCAGATGTCAGATGTGCAAACATGCAAAGCAAAGTTAGCATTAGTTTCTTGCAGGAAAGTCTCAGCCAGTGCTGTTGAAGCAACTCCACGGCTGAACCTTTCTCCAGCTTTCCAAGCCCTTGGGAATCTCACTTTGATTTTGTGAAAGCTTTTTAAACTTGTTCAGAACTTTTCAAGTTCTACAAATCAATGGAAGCCAAAACCTAATTTATTTAGAGATTTTTCAGCCATCTCTAAGATGCCCTGGAAAGCATTTGCATTTCTGTGTCTTTTAGATACTCAAAAATAACTTCCTTAACTGTTAAAATATGTAACACCAAGCTATTACATTTTTCTGTTTCTTCAGTGCAACTCTCTCCTCCACCTCAGCAAGCAGGGAGTGATAAAGAGACAGGGTTTCCAACACCTTTAGCATCAAAGTTTTGCTGAAGGGCTCCCACCCCATAATTAGTCATGTGCTAACTCCAGCCATTTGAGGCAATGATTATTCATCATTATATAAATCCTGGTAACCTGGTAACCTGCCTGAGTTCTACGTTTCTATTTCTTATCATCATGGTTTCATGAGAAAAGAAAATATGTAGTTTCAACACTTCTGTGCTTGCTGAAAAGCAACGTGGTTGGTTGAGATACCCTTACCTTCATAGCATGCACAACAGCCTCTGGTTTCTGACCAACAGGGACATACCCTGCTGCAGGAGAAGACCCCAGGTCAGATGTCATGCGTGCTGGTCCCTGTTGAAATAAGGAGAGTACACGTGATTTAATTCCCTTTGAGTGACTCAAGCAAGAGGAAGAAAATATCCAGAAAACTGGAGCACTGCCTGCTTGCAAAATCCATATGCTTCAGCCACTTGCAGAGACAAAAGACAAGACCCTTTCCTCAGAAGACCCCTTCCTCCTTGATTTTAATTCCATTTAAGCCCTGCAGCTGAGGTACAGAGGCAGAAGATCAACCTGGTTTAAAGCTAAATCTGTTCAAGAAACCTTTTCGGTGACTTAGGGTAACTTCCTACAAAGAGAAGATCAAACAGTTCTCATCCTTCTTGCCAAGGACACAATGCAAACAAGATGATTTTCCAGCATGAGCTGGTCATTTCTAAGAAGTTTCAAACATGAAAGAAATGGTTGGTGTAGCATTACTGCTTTTTTGGCAACGCTTTCACACGGCGGTCAAGCACTAATCTTCAGCCACAGAGCAAATTGTGAAGGCAACCTTAAAACAAACAGATGTCCAAACCTAGTACTGACTGGGGTTGTTTCCAAAATGCTGGCCTGCTCTCCTGCAGGGAGGATCCCATCGGGAAAGATACAGGAATTACATTGTACAGAAGATTCCTACTCTCCAAACAGCCTTGTAAGCACTTTCAATAGGACCTTCCTGTTTTTAAAGGCCTTTCTCTTTGATGACGTGAGACACAGTGTCTTCACTCAGAGAGCTGGACCCTGCCTGTTCCTAACATTTGTGCATTCGCACTGTAGCAGGGGGAGAAATCAACAATGAATCCATTGATCAAACTCATATCTAGTCGTCAAGCCCTTTAGGAAACACAAAGAACGATTATACTGGAGGCCTGTGAAAGCAAATTGGGATGGCGCAGTGGTATGTAGCACCACGATAGGAATGCTTTCACACACAGCGCACGCCGCCCTCCATTACCATCTTTTCCGTGTCTAAAAACACAGCGTTTTAAGCCTCATGCCCTCACTTTGCCTTCTAAGGCAAGGACAGTAAATTCGTTATGTGAGAAAGCAGGACCAAAGGAGAAGCACTTTGCCGCTTCTTAGCTTTCCAAATGCTTTAGGTTTGGGGGGCATTTTTTTATTAGTAAAAAGCAAGTGTTCATGTGGGAATAATAAAGAAGAAGATGGGCTAATCCATTAAGCCAAGAATAAAAATAGTATGAAAGACATGGAGTCTTTCATGTCTGAGCCACTTGTCCGCACTTAACCCACGTAATGACCAATAGCTATTTACCCGCAATAGCTTCCCACCAACCTCTATGAACTCAGTTGCTGGTCACACAATCATTTCCTTTTGAGGGCTAGGCATACCAAGAAAAAAATATAGAATTAGTAACTCCACAATAAATCTACAAAGAGATTTAACAGACTGTCAAAGCTTAAAGACCACGGGACACTCACAGGCTGTGCATGGGCCTGGGCCTGGTGGACAGTTGCAGTTCAGTGGAGTAAAAATTGTCCATCCCTGCCCTGGCTGTGAAGGCTGTTTGCCCACCTGGAGGACACTTCTTCAGTTGTGGAGGGCTTTAATGTTACACAGGACAGGCAGAGGCTGGAGGAGAAGAGTGCCAGAGACCGGATCCACCTGCTCTATAGCTACGACTAAGACTATACAACCGGGTGCACATTTCTCATGGAGCTCATAAATGTGATTGAGTGCCTGCAGAATCACACGGAGCTCCTCTGGCTCTAGGGTGAAAGCTGTCTTCTCGCCATGAATGATCATGATCATAGCAACTAGAAGCCAAATATTTGAGATTTTTCTGGTCACAAAATCTCCCCACAGGCCTCATTAGAAGGAATACAAGAACACCAAGCAAAGACTGGACATCCAACACTTCTTCTGAGTAGACAGTAAACTGTCAAAATAAGAGGAATCCTGCTGGATCCTGCATCTGACAACATTTTAAATATATTTTTCTGGCCAGCCTTGGGTAGATCATAATTTTCAGAATGACAGGCAGCAATAGTTTCTCCTCATAAAACTGAAGTCACTAATGAGCTATAAGCATTTTCATAATGATAACCACTCTAAAAGTTATTACAGAACACATACGAAACCACACAGATTAGAGAGAAATTCATTCCAAAGAATTTGATGATACTTATTGGATGATTGGCATGATAAAAAATGTCGTTGTTTGTACAAGCACACGCAGAGTAATACACTGTGTGTATTGTACCACACAAAAAATGCTCCAAGTGGCAGTTTCCTGCTTGAAGGAGAGGCTGAAATGTGGCAAGGGAAATCAGCTGAGCTCTGCTCGAACACAGGTACAGAATTTGACTCAAGATGATGAACATGGTACTAAAGAATGGGAATGCCACCAAGAGGGGGCAGGTCTAAACTATTAAAGCTGCCAGAGCCTCAAAACCAGATGACTCCTTTCTGAAGCACACGCGGTCCTTGTTTCTCAGGCTGGAAGCCAAGAAATCCCAGCAAACTAGAGCGGATGTCCAGGCTGGTGAGATTAATCCTCCCTCCGGCACCTAATCATGTAACAGATTCTCCGACAAAAATGCCGGGTGTGGAGACCCCCAACGCCCTGATCTGTGTGCGTGATGTCAACTCCACATCTCTCGTACAGGAGACCAAACACACACATAAAGAAAGCAGGGAAATGAACCAGCATTTCCCCTGCAATTGTGAGACACATCCAGGATCTCACATGCTGCTAGGAAAAAGGCAGGACTCCACGCAGCTAAGGCTGGCTTAATATTATTATATTAATATTAATATTGCTAATCACACAGTTTTACTGTATAGGTGCCTCCTTAGAATTCTCTTTCCAGACATAAAAAAGACAAAGGGACAGAGTTTTGGAAAGATTTAGGTGCTCAATTCCCCCTGATTTTGGTGCAGTTCCCAAAAATGCTTTAGCCAGGCTTGTATCTGTTTCTTGGGTTTAGGCAAACATGAAGGAGACGAAAAATAAGGAATCTCTAGTAATCAAGGGGGAAAAACAAAGACAATGTAGTCAGCAGGATGCATGCCCAGCTTTGGAGGATGAGGTAGAGGAAAATGGGCAGAGTTCATCGATACAATCAGCTAAAGGGGAGGAAATGCAAGGAATGGGAGATAAGGTCAAGATTTGTCCACTGAAAAGCCGCCAGAAGTGAAAGAGCTGGGAGGGGATGGGAAGAGAAAGGAGCATGTGCAAATTACCCAGGAGCGAAATCACTGAGATGAAACGCAGGGAAGGAAACCAAAGATAGGACATTGGAGGAGGACAGGGGAGAGCAGGAAAGTCCTGGAGATCATTCAGGCATTCAGGTAGTGGCTGAAGTCACACAGGAGAAGGAGGTTCATCATGCCCAACGCAGACAGGCTTGGGAAATGCTGAAAACCATCGTGGTTGCACCCCAGCCCTGGACCTCATCTATCCTGAGGACTTCAGAAATCTATGGCCTTCCTGTCCCAGCCTAGCTGACATTTTCACAGCCATGGCTGACTCGGCACCCTGACAGACACGAATAAAGAGGTTAATCTACTTGCATCCTAAGAAACAGGAATTCTGCAGCAGACAGAAGTGATGCAGCTTGTGCAGCAGGGCAGGTATCACTGAATGGCTTCTCCTTATCTGCTTTGGTCAAACATGCACTCTGCATTAGACAGACATCTGACATGTCCACTTGGGAGGTTTTCATAGCCCTCAGTGGCTAAGAGATGGATTCGTGCCCCACACTCAGACACATGACTGAGGTGCCGCATAATTATATAAATGAATGATGATAAAAGACAGTTCAGAAGTCACAAAAATGATGACACATTTATATTAAAGCTGTTGAAAAATACAATCTTGATTGCTTTCTAGTTTACTTCTGCTGAGACTAAGGCAACTAATCAGAAGCCGAGTCATTTTAAATGCAAAGTTTCTCACTCTCTTTGGCTCTAACTTGCTTTGGAGTTGTTCCAAATTTACAGAGACAGAGCTGAAACTAAAATTTAGCGCATTTAATTCGATAATTATACAAGGAAGTTGTAATTTAGAAAGAAAATAAGTATACATTTATGTAAGAGATGGCATCAAGAATTACATGGGTAGAATTACATGGAAAACCTCTTTCTGTTTCATCCACAACCAGTTATGTTACCTATAGCATTTCTGTCCATCTGTAACATATCTCTCTTAGTGAGAGCACTAGCCTAAGACCAGATGGCTCAAAGTTACATATCTGATGCAGTACTGAGCTCTTGAGGACTTGAAGAAAGAGCCTTATCTTCACTGTGCATGGCGTTTGCTGAGGACCCCGTCTCTGTGGTCAGCAGGAGCAAGAGTCCCTTCTCCCGAGATACATCTTTAGGAGAAGAACGGCCTCATTGCCAGGCTCTGGAACCAAAGGCGATCCAGATGTCGAGCTGCATGTGACCGATGATGTGACATGTCCTAAGTGGGAGCTTTGCTGCTCTGCAAACAGCTGTGGCAGTTCAAAGCTTTAGAGACTGTAGTAGCCTGGATCTCTTTGAGATATCCCTGGAGTTCCATTTCTGCTGCCAAGCCACTGCAAAGCCCAGACAGGCTCCTCATAAGGCCCAGGTGCTTCATTGGTGGCAAATCCGAAGTACTTGCTGCCTGTTCCACTGAGAAAATCAAGGAGAGAGCTATTTCTCTGCCCCTCCCGGCTTTTCTCCACATACAGCAGTACTGGATCACCTACTGAACTCAAGGACTCACAGCAGTTTCCCAAGGAGCTCCACAGGATGTTCCTCTCTTGCCACTCAAACACAGACTCCTCAGAAACCTCTCACAGGAGCCCCAGTCGCAGGGCTCCAGAAAAGCCCAACACCCATTAAGAGGCTCACAGTGCAGCTGAAGCATTAGAAGACAACAGAAAGCGAGAGGAACTCCGCAGGTTCTTAGGTCAGAGCTTCCTTAAGAGCACTGTGCTAAGCACAGGAGATAAATCCTCCAGTTCTCTATAAGCTAAGAATTATGCTTGACCTGGGGACAGCATCAAATCAAAAGCAGAAAACAAAAACAAATAAAACC